CTCTCTGAGCCTCAGTTTCATTATCTGTCTCTTCCTGCTCTAGAGCTACGGTCCTGTAACATCAAATGCAATCTCAAATTTTGACAACAGAATTTTTTCACCAGATATTTTGATGAGTACAATGAAAGAATTAAATGAATTTGAAATACCTAGAGTAATTAGATACTTCTAGTTAATCTTAGGAAAAATATTGCCAAGATCTTGTTTTTTTCAAGATAATCCAATTCAAAATAGGATCAAAGGATTCAGAGTTAGACCTTAGAAATTATATAGTCTCATTCCCTCATTTTACAAGTGAGTAAACTGAGGCTTACAGATGATCAGTGATTTGCCCAAGGCCAAACAGATGGTGAGTAGTAGTGATTCAAACTCAGGCTTGGGAGCACTAAATTAAATGAAACTTAGAAAATAATTTCTCACTACTTACTACATCTGTACCTAGACTTGACATTTAGGGCTTAATAAACTTGAAAGAATAGAATAGCCGTTAAACTCTCAAGTGTTTCAGGGTTGGGTATATCAGTGGAGAGTGGCTAGAAATCCTAGAAGGGAAACCTGAAGTTCCCTTCTAGAGTTCCAGAAACTCAGTAAAGTTGAGCTAAGCTCTCCATCTTTCCAGGAGTGACATGCATGCCTGAAAAGCTGGCTGGTTTCTGTTGCCTGTGCTCAGATACCAGGTTTTTTTTTTTTGAGTGGGAGGGGTGTCAAAAGAATTAAATTAGGGGCCATCCTCTGAAATTAGTCCCATCTATTAGAAACACTCATAGACTAAGGACTTAGATTCTAGTTTTGTTATTACCCATAATAACAGTTGACTTTGATACAGTACTTTAAGGTTTACAACTTTCATATTGTTATATACAACATACATATTATATGTACATCATATAATGTCTATATATACACATATGTGTGTGTATTATATATATATATATATATATATATATATATATTGCTTTATGTACATTGATATTTGGTCCTCAACAACCCATTGATGTAGGTATTCTAGTATTATCCCTCTTTCACAGATTGAGACTGGGGCTGTTAGGTTAAATGACTTGCCCATTGTCACAGAGCTAATAAATAATACTCAAATTATGTCACATCCAAGTACAGGTACAAGTACAGCGCTTTCTACTTTACCATGTTAGCCTTACAATGTCAGATAAGTCAGTTTCTGGGTTTCAGTTTCCCCATTGACACATGTGGGAGCTGACCTAGACTATATTATATAACCTAAGAGGGCAAAAGAATTGGGGAAACCATATGCCTTCCCAGTTCCTGCTTTACCCTTTTTGGCAATGCAGTTAGAACTTGATATTTTCAAAGTTGGATTGAATCCTGTAATAGATGAATTTTTTTTCTTCATAGGCTAAACTAACTAGAAATCTGCAACTAAGTGTAATCTAAGGACAAATCTGTATTGACAGATACTGAAATATAGACAAAGAAAACCCAGGGCTTGATTCCTCAGGTATATCCCCCAAAGGCAGCAATGAGTTATTTCTCTATTTTTGTCTTTAATCCTTGATTCAGCATGATATAGGGTGGTTTAGCTTTGAATAAGTTGCTTAACACCGCTAAACTTCTGTTTCTTTATTGGTAAAATGGAGTGAATGTTTGTACTACTTGTCTTACTGCCTGGGAGAAGCCAAACCACTGAGCTTTGCCCTTCTTGAGACCATTTGTCCCGTCCTTATCTTCACCCTGCCCTTTCCTTCTCATCTTCACCTCTGCCATTTACTGCCCCACTGCCTCTTTATGTACTCTCCCCTCCTCCCTTCCATTGAAAACTGTAATCGAATCATCATTGCCATTGTCTCTGGGAATAGACTGCCCTATTGTTCCGCTCACCATCTTTGTGACTTCCTACATCATAGACCCCTCCCTAGTCAGCCCTGCTGTATACACTATGTGTTGTTTAGTGTAATATTGACAGGTCTACCCTGGTTATTTGCATTGGACTGGACCAGTTATTACATTTTACATAATTATAACTTTGAATAGCGTGAACTTACGTTGATCCACTTCACTGGATTCAAACTAATGAAGTCCTGGCTGTAAGCTTCTTAAGGGAGGGACTACATGATTGGTTCCTTTTTGGTCTTATATCTCTTGTCCTTCACACCCCTCTTCTTAATTCTGTGTTGGTAATATGTTGTAGCCCACTTGTGCCTGCCTCCTGTACCTCTCCATTACCTTTTGTGAGTCTTTGAATTATTTGAAGATTATGTTTTTTTGCAGCCTTACAGCACCACCAGAAGAATATTGATGTCAAAAGGATAAACTTTTATTTCCAGGAAAAGTTCAGCAGTCATGAATTCTGTGAAATTTCTCGAAGGCAGTTCAGCCCATCCATTCACCTTCTCTGGCTTAATTCTGGCCCCAATTTATTGTCTATTCAGAGGTTCTGTCCAAGATAGATGACTAAAGTATGAGACAACACTCTACATCCAGGTACCTACTACTGTCTACAACAGACATCCTTTTATTTTTTTGTTTTTTGTTTAGGCATTTAGGGTTAAGTGACTTACCCAGGGTCATCACACAGCTAATAAGTGTCAAGTGTTTGGTCTGAGGCTGGATTTGAACTCAGGTCCTTCTGACTTCAGGGCCGATGCTCTGTCCACTGCGCCACCTAGCTGCCCCCAACAGACATCCTTTTAAAAAAGTATTGATAACACCTACATTTCCCATTATACCTCTCTTGTCTCCCCCTTCAAAAGATCCATTACTTAAAGAATTTTTTTAAAGGAGAAAAAAAGGTATGTAAAAATTAACCAATGCATCAACCAAATAACACTGTATGCATTGTTCCACACCCATAGTTCCCTACTTCTGCAACAAAGAGAAGGAGGTGTGTGCTCATTGGGGAAAAATTTACAAAGTACAGTATGGTGGATGTGGAATCTGAGTACCTGGGTTCTGCCACCTACTAGCTTTACAACCTCACTTACCCTTGCTCCCCACCCCCAGCTCCACCCCTCACTTTCCTTATTTACAAAATAAGAGCAGTACTAGATCGTCTCTGAGCTCCCTTCCAGCTCTGAATCAGTGATGCAATGATCTCTCTTCTTTGGGTTCAAGCTTGGTCATTATTTCACACCATTGAGTTTTCATTTGTCTTTGTTTCCATGGGCATAGTTTTAGCCATTGTGTACATTGTTTTCCTGGTTCTCCGCACTCTCTGTCAGTTCTTGTAAGTTCTCTTCATCATTTTTGTCCTTTCTGCCAGTTCAGGAACATTCCATTCTCTCTACGTCAGTGGCCATTTACTTTGTTTCTAGTTCTTTGCTATTGTAAAATGTGCTGCTGTATAAATATTTTGGTTTCTGTGGGGCCTTACTATAGCTATTCCTGCATGAATAATTAGACTGAACTCTTCTAAATGAACATGGACCTCATGGAAGAGGCTTTGCAGTGTTCCTGCACTTGATGCAGGTCAGTACAATGTCCCATATGAATAGGAATGTCTAAAGGACCTCACCTTCCAAAGGGAACCCTCACTTGGACGTCCTCCAGTCCAGTAAGCAAGCATCTTTGGCCAACTTATATCTGTTTCCGTTTTATGCATCACAGGATATCATTAAGCAAAAGGCCACTGAACAAAGCTCTCTGTTACATCTTCTGACTAATCTTGCATAATTTGGACATTTGCACAGTGGAAGCTTTGTTGGAGGAGAGTGACATTTTGTTCTACAGAGTCACATGCTTTAAAAAAAATTCAATAAAGAGTAAGTACAGTGGAATCAAATTCTCTGCATTTTTATCAGCTGTGTGACTATATAATATCTTTTGTGAAAGCCTGACTGACCCTTCCTATAGCTTTATCAGGGATGCCCTGCCTGTGTGTTAGATCAGCGTTAGGAAATTTTCATAGAGATTGGAAAGTAGGCATATCATGTCTTCTCATTTTTATTCTGAATTGGTATTTGGTTATTGCTCTAAGTCAATGTTCTGATTGTACCTACATAGATAATTTGGAAATTACTCTTACACTGGTAGCCAGTTGTTTGTTAAAATTTATAACCAATGTCATTTTTGTATGTGGGTGTGTTTGTGATGTACATACCATGTCCTCAGTTTCTCCTGCCCTCTAGTGCAGAGCCCTATCTCTGTACTGACTTCACATCACCTGGCTTTCCTGTTCTCTAAGGCTGCCAAACTTCTTAGGGAAGGAGCCACCATAACCACTCTGCGTAATACTTGTGAGTACTTCTGTTGCCATTTAAACCCATTTTCCTTCCCCTTGGTGAAGAATGACATCTTCTCACCCCTCATTGTCCTTCCAGAGGCAACCAGGTGGGATTCAAGATTAGGGGATTGTGTGTGTATATACATCTGCACACATGCACAGACTGCATATACACATGATGTAATGCATGTGTGTGTATACACACACACACACACGTATACACACCCATATAATACATGCACCATATGGTGCATATATGTAGATCCATGTAAATATTTATACACAACACACATCTACATATACCTATATGCATCACATAAACATGTATACACACATACATGTAAGCAATACACACATGTGTGTATATGTCTGTCTATCTGTATGTTGTTGTTGAGTTGTTTCAGTCATGTCTGAATCTTCTTAGATGCCTTTGTTCAGTCTTCATTCCCATCGACTTTGCAGCATTTAGGATTTTCTTGGTAAAGATACCGGAGTGGTTTGCCATTTCCTTCTCTAGCCCATTTTACAGTTGAGGAAACTGAGGCAAAGAGGTTAAGTGACTTGCCCAGATTCACACAGCTAGTAAGTGTCTGAGAACTCATATCTTCCTGACTCCAGGTCTGGCATTCTGTCTACTGTGCCACCTAGCTGCCCGTATGTATATGTACATATACATATATATACACATGCATAGCATTGGACCTAGAATCAGGAAGACCCAAATTCAATACTACCTTGGGCACTTATGATCTGTTAATTGCATCTGTTGTAGCGTCATTTCCTTTATCTGCAACATGAGGAATAATGATAGCACTTAATTCATAGGGTTGTCAAAGGAGAGAATATATGTCACGCTCTTTGTAAACGTTAAAACTGTATATAAATGGTATAAATAAAGCTATATGTAATTGGTATTATGATATACCTTAAAATAGTCAAATTGCCCTAATAGCCTCCCAGTTTTTCTCTCTCTCAAAACTCCAAATTGCTATATCTTTACATTTCTCACAGGTATTATTTTAAGTAGGGACCTAGAGGTGGACCAAAAGTCTTGTCATCTAAGGACTGACTTGGCTACATTTGTGAAGGCCTAGCACCGCAGGGTTGGCCACCAAGTGATGGATATTTTTTTCATTCACAGTGCAGCAGGATTGCATTCTGGTTCAGAGAGCTGAGAATCCAGGCATCTACCCATGGATACTTGGAGAACAGAAGTAAGTTTACCTTCTGTCTTCTGTGTTTTCCACACACTCACACTATGGAACCTCCAAGTGAGACTCCAAAACACTACATTAAAAAGGAGGTACATTGCCTAGAAGAATATTTCATATTAATAACCAAATAAAAGAAATGGTTTCTTCTTTCAGGAACTTAGATGTTAAGTTTCTTATACCCCTCTAGGCCATATTCTCTCTGATCTAACTCAGTCAATTGAAAATTCTCATAAAATATAAATAGCCTGGCTTTGACTATGACTCCTGTTAGAGTTTCAGTTTTTTCTTATTGCAGCTGAAGGCCTCTCTCAATCTGTCTTTTAGGAAATAGACACAGAAATGTTTTCTTGGACCTAAGGTCCCAACCATTTTGAAAATGTTGAGCTTGAGATTCCTACAGGGCATCTGAATAGAGATGTCAGTTAGATAATTGGTGGTGTGAGACATGAAGCCCCTGTGCTTCCACATAGAGAACTGATAGTCATCTGTATTGAGGTGATGGTTAAACCCATGGGAATAGATGAAGTAACCATAAGAATGTGTGGAAAGAAGAGAAGAGGCCCTTTTTTCCCCTCAGATTATTGAGAGATACCATTGCTAGGGGAAAAGGAGATGAGTGATGAGCCAGCAAAGGATTCTGAGAAGGAACAATATGGCAGAAAGGAGGAAAAGTCTCAGGAGCTATGGGAAGAGAGGATATCTATTAGGTCACTGTGGTCTACAGGATCAGAAACTGCAAAGTGGATAGGGATGAAGACTGAGCAAAGGCATTTAAGAAGATAAAAACTGGGAAAAAGCAGTTAAGAAATCACTGGTAACTGAGGGGTAAGAGGCGGGGTAGGATCAGAAGCCAGACTGCAAGGAGTCAAAAACTGAATAAAACTAGAGACTGAGGCAGAAGGTGAGTCAAGGAAGAATAAAAGTATTGCTATACAGCCAGATGCCCAAAATAGGTTAGAGAATATGAATTATCAGGGACCTGGGTTCTGTCACTTTGACCTACAATATTCATTAGTGTGTGAGGGGTATAGAAGGCAGAAGGAAGGGTAAAACAGGATTGGGGTTCAGGGAGGTGTGAATATAAACAGGACAAGGGAACAAGGGATTCCAGATTAGAGAATAGTATGTGCTTGAACTGTTCAGTCATAGGAACAAAATGGAATAAAAGTGAAGTCAGAGCAAGAGTGATGGACTGAGAGAACAGGGAGGGGTGGGCCTGGACTGGTGGTCACACAGTGAAAAATGGATTGAGTTGGAGTGAGGCACAGGAAGAGATGGAAGAAAATATGAGTTCAAGATCATGGAAGCAGCACAGTTGTGGGTGATAGGTTCTAAGAGGTGATTGTCTCTGCCATCATCCAGAAGTAGAATGGGCTGCCTAGTGGTTTCCTCCTTTGTAAGATGAAGGCTTCCACTTGACTGACAGGACATATTGTTGGAATGCCAAACGTAAGTTTGCCTAAAAGACTGTTCAATGGAAAAGTCACGCAAAGCAGGTACCTACATGGTGGTCAGAAGAGATGGTAGAAGGTCTCTCCAAAGAACTTTGGTATCAAGTTGTGAGACATGGGAGTCGTTGGCCAGGATCATCCACATGGCATGGCCATGTCAGAAGACGTGAACTATGAGAAAAGCAGGATTGTGATGGCTCAAAAGAAACATGATGATGAGGTCTAGAGCTTTAGGGGTGCTGGGACCCCATGATCATGACACATGGGTCTTGTCTAAAAGAATTCGACGTAAGCCTTCTTGCAGCCAAAGACAAGGTTTATTAAAGATCCTCTATGTTGGCCAGACTCCTAAGGAATGCGAGCTGTTGACTAGATTGTAAGAATATCAGCACCTTAGTGGAGACAAGATCAACTTATATACAGAAAGACTGTGGGAGGGATCTAGGAGTGGCCAAGCAGTCTGCTGGGACTGTGAGGTCATAGAATGCCACCGTGGCTGAGAGAGAATGGAGCCTAGCTAGGATTAAGGGTGGGAAGAGGCCAGGGGCCATAGGGAGATAAGACAATGGAGGGCTAGGCTAGGTTAAGGCTAACAGAATTGGGAGACTGGGTGTAGCCACAATGAAAGGACAGTTGATGGGATTGTAGCCTCAGGGATTTGGGGGAAAGGCCAGGGTTTTTCCTTTTTGGGGCCCAGATCCCATCCTCATCAATGAGATGCACAAATTTAGAGACATCTCCCTCCTAAATGATCATATGGACTATTTGTGCCCAACCTGTGATAGAGCCTTCTGAGCTCATATCAGTCTGATCAGCCGCAGTTGGTCACACTGCACCTTGACCCAGATGTTGTGATGTCGTTTTGGTCCTCTTCCAGCACAAAGAACAACCATCAGCCATCAATGAAGGGGGATGGTTTAGGAGGCAGTTCTTGGTTTGATGCAGATTAGACTGCATGGCTGTAGGGTGGGGTGGTCCCTTCCAGTTCTCTGATCCTGTGAAATACTTCACCAACTGAAAAGTGTTTTAACTTAAGGATGAACATTTGATGAAGCATCAGCAGAGTTTTAGCTTTTGTCAACTCCCTGGTTTTTTTTTTCTTTTAGTATTGCCCCTTTTTGTTCTCTACTGAGAATTTGTGCCTAGACAGAGAATGACTTTTCTGTGTGAAGCTTAAGAGACTTTGAAGTAGGTAGGTTAAATGGTGCAGAGTTTCCTTTCAGATGTAAATAATTTTCGTTTGAATCTCTAAGATGTGTTCTCTGCTGCTATGTGGACTTTTGTTCCTCCTTCCTGTTTATTTGAAAGGAGGGTCGTCTTTGTGAAACCAGAATTTTTAAAAAGAGGTGAGGGGGATGATGATTCTCTGGGGTGCTAGCAGAGAAGGGACATGATGTTAGTGAAGAACCCAGATAGGAGCTAAAGAAAGCCAAGTTTGCATTTTTATAAATACTTGTTACTTTATTACAGGGGTATTTATTACTTTAGTACTTTTCAAGAGTTCCTGCAACTCTTTCCTTTGATATTTTTAACTGCTCTCTGTTTCTCTGTAGTTGGAAATACCCTTAGGGAACCTCAAAGGGTTTGCTTGCATGCTTTAGGATTAAGGTGGAAGAGGAGAAGCTGTGAAATAGCATTCACTCCCCTGAGGGGAGGAAACTGGGTGAAATAATGAGGAAAAGCAGCCAGAAAGACAATGAGTTGGTAAACCAGTACCTGGCTTCCACACCAAGGAAGAAGGAGTTGTCTGACCTGGACTGGGAAGTGTCTCTGATAATTTATCCACCAGAGGTAGCTCCACATCCCAACAGAACCTTTTAAACTTTGCAAATGCATTTTATTTTAGATACTTCCTAAGAAAAAAGTAAACCTCTTTTTCTTCACCTATCAGATTTCATCGGAATGTGGTCTGCCAAATGTGCCTTTACATAACAGAATCTCAGATTTGGAAGGACTCTCTCCAAGGACCATTAGATCTGAATAAGAATCTCCAAAACATTCCAAAATAGTGGCCAATCCAGTCTTTCCAAGAAGGCTTCCAGTGAGAGAGAGAGAACCCAGTAACCACTGCGATAGCCCATTACTTTTTGAATATCTCTGATTTTATACAGCCCACAGCCCGTAAAGTAATTTTGGGGAGCTGGGGAGCCCACACAGCTGTGTGTAGGGGTCAATCAGAAGAGGCCTCATGTAGGATATGGCACTTAATTTGAGCTTTGAAGGGAGCTAGGGAAAGTGGGGAAGCCTTGCAAAGGCAGAGAGGAAGAAGAAAGTTACCCATTTGGAAGAGCAAATAGGGGAGTTTGGCTGGAGTGAAGAGTGAGTGAGGGGAAATTATGTGAAACCAGCCTAGAAAGATAGGATGGAGCCAAATTGCAAAGGACTTTAAATGTCAGAGGAAGTTTTTATTTTATTCCAGGGGCAACTGAAGCAATAATTTGACCTTCCCCCCCCCAGCCCACTATAATATAACAGTAATTCCCTGGGACTGTCTGATAGTACTCTGACTTACTAAGGGGACTGACTCAGGAAATATGAACCAGTGTCCAGAATAAAATAATGATTTTAGGCTCTTGGACCTAGAACTGGAAAAGACTTCAGAGATCATTCAGGGTAACCCCATTTTACATATAAGGAAATTAAAGCTCAGGGAATTTAGTGTTGTGGCTTTTTTTTTTTTGGAGGCAATGGGAGTTAAGTGACTAGCTTAGGGTCACACAGCTAGCTAGTGTCTGAGGCCAGATTTCAACTCTGGTCCTCCTGACTGTAGGGCCAGTAGTCTATCCACTATGCCTTCTAGCTGCCCCTCACAAACCTTCTGTCTTTTTCTTTTTTTTTTTTAACGGTGAGGCAATTGGGGTTAAGTGACTTGCCTGGGGTCACACAGCTAGTAAGTTTCAAGTGTCTGGTCTGAGACTGGATTTGAACTCAGGTCCTCCTGACTCCAGGACCGGTGTTCTATCTACTGTGCCACCTACCTGCCCCCTCAGGAAATTTAAGCAACTCAAATGGGGTTCTGTAGAGAGCACACGACAGAGCTGACACCTGAACGAAGGTCCATTCTTTTCATTTCACCATGTGACAATTTGGTTTAGATGTGCATTTTTCTTTCTGAACTGGGCCCACGGGATTTTATCATTACCTAGACATTTGATAGGCACACTTTCAGGGTGTCCTTACCATGGATACACTTGCCTTTGAGGTTCTGGTCTAGCCTGTGAGGACTAGATCTACCAACCAAAAGTAGGATTTTACATATCTTCTGGGCATTCTCCTTTCCTTAGGATTCCTGTAGAACATAGGGAATTCTGTATAATGGCTCAATGGCCCAAAATGGTAAAAGAAAGTAACTGCAAATATGCAGTCTGCTTAACTGATTGTAGTTAGGCCTAAATGTTTTGTTTTTCCTTTGCCTTTGGTTTTCATTCTAGGGAAAAAAAAAAGATTCTGGCCAGAAGTTATTATTCAAAATGAACACCAGGGGGCTACAGTGCCATATTTTGGTTGAATAATATACAAAGCTTTTGCTCAAAAGCTGTATATATAACATGATGCTAATAACATTGCTCTAATCTATTCTGTTGTAAACCTATAGAATCATATGAAATATTTACTTTTGCCTGAAGAAGCACATAAAGCCTGGATGCCAAGGAATTGTGAAGTTAACATTCAGGCCTTAAGTTTTTCTGGTACTTTAGGTTTTGATGATTTTTAAATAGCACCTTTTTGAGTGAAGATAACATGACAACATGGTATCCCATGTAAGAGCTAGACTTTGAACAAAACCATCCAGTATCTGTCATGGAAATTGGAGCCACAAAGTTCCTGCAGATCAGCAGCTTTAGAAATAGGTCACGGCAATTAAAGAGGATACAAGGACAATGCCTGGTCTGGAGAGTGAAGAACAAGGGTCCTGTTATGAATTATTTAGTCATAGGATCTAATGAGGTTTTGATGCCATTTGAATAGTTCATTGCAAAGTAGACCCTCTTTCAATAAACTCATGGCAAAAGGTGTCTAGGATGTCAGACTTCAGAATGAGATAAATTGCTGCAGGGATTTTCTTCTTTCATGTGCTGCCAGGTCACTGCTTATTTGTTAGAGAAAGGGAGTAACACTTTTCTCTACCCTGGCTTGCTTTGAATCTGTGACTTTCCAGGTGAATAGATTCAGGAATTTACTTGTTGCTTCTTTGGGAACCATGTGAGTTGGAAAATAACTAGGCTCAAATCAAGCAGTACTCAGCTACCAGAGGCAAAGAATTCAGAGCTTTATTCGCAGAGATCACTAGATTTCTGGGTGTCTGCAAAGATTTACTTCCTCTGTCCAACTTAGTCCTATATTTTGTTCCAGAAGACAGTTGGTCATTTTTTTTTTTAGGCAATTGGGGTTAAGTGACTTGCCCAGGGTCACACAGCTAGTAAGTGTGTCAAGTGTTTGGTCTGAGGCTGGATTTGAACTCAGGTACTCCTGACTTCAGGGCCAGTGCTCTATCTACTGCGCCACCTATCTGCCCTGGTCATATTTCTTATAGCAGTCACTCAGAGTCAGCTGCATTTCTGACTTTTCCCACTGATATTTTATTATTTTAGTTGTTATTGTTAACTTTTTTCTTTTTAAGTAGTTTGGTACAGTAACATGTTCTGTTTTAACAGTTACAGTCAAGCCAAATAACAAACACACTGGCCATATCTACGAAATAAAATGCCCATTCTGTATGTATAATTGACCGCCTTTCTCTCTGCCAAGGCATGTTTTGCTGTTAGTCTTCTGAAGTCATGAGTGACCATTGTATTGATCAGAATCCTGAAGTCTTTTAACATTGTTTTCCTTTACATTGCCGTGGTCAGCATGTAAGTTGTTACCCTAGTTCTACTTGCTTCACATTGCATCCATTCATAAAAATTTCCTTAAGTGTTTCCAAATTTTTTGCATTCGACATCTTATAGCATAACAAATATTCCATTACATTCACGTACCACAATTGTTGAACTCCTCAAATGACAGGTACCCAATTGTCTTCCTGCTTTTTGCTACCACAAAAAGTGATTTTTTTATGAAAACTTTTGTATGTATTGGACCTTTCTCACCATCTTTGAACTCTTTGGGGTTTGTGCCTTGTGTAGATATCTTTGGTTAAAAGGGTATATACAGATTATTGACCTTTTTTAAAAAAGCATAATTCTAAATTGTTTTCCAAAATGGTTGTACCATTAGCTCCACTGGCAATGTATTCATTTGCTTGAGATAGCTGGTGGCACAGGGGTAGAATCGGAGGCCTGCAGGCAAGAAGTCCTGAATTCAGATAGACAAACTAAACTGTGTGACCCAGGGCATGTCACGTCACATCTGCTTGCCTCAGTTTCCTCAACTGTAAAATGAGGATAAATAATAGCACCTACCTTGCAGGGTTGTTGTAAGGATCAAATTAGGTGGTATTTGTAAAAGCATTTTACGCACTGCCTGGCACACAGTAGGTGCTGTTATCTAGCTGCTTATTGCCCTTCCCACAGTTGTTCCACCACCCCCTACCATTGAACCCTCCCTTGTAACAAAGAAAAACATTTAAACAGAACCAACTGACACAGTGATCCTATCTGATAGAGCACACCACATTCCACTTCCATCGTCTTCCACATCTCTGTTGAGAGAAAGGAGGTGTGTTTCATCGTCAGTTGTCTGGGGCCAAGAGTGTTTGATACACTTCATCAAAGTTTCATTGCTTTTGAATGTTGTTTATATTATTATAGTCATTCTGTATTTTGTTTGCTTGGTTCTTCTTTCTTTATTCTGCATTATTTCATGAAGCTCTTCTCATGTTTCTCTAAATTCCTTATGCATGTGTCCCTTGTTTCTTAAGGTGCAGTAATATTCTCTTATGTTCATATATCTCAATTTAATCATCACTTCCCCAATAAACAAATGCCAATTTTGTTTCTTTTTTTTCCCCTTTTTTGGCGAGGGGGGATTATAATGAAAGGATCACTATAAATATAGGGTGTCTTATAAAATGCACTAAGACTTTTGGGACCTGTCTCATTATTTTATTTTATCTTTTTTTAAATTTATTTTTGGCTAGGCAATGGGGTTAAGTGACTTGCCCAGGGTCACATAGCTAGTAAGTGTCATATGTCCGAGTCTGGATTTGAACTCGGGTCCTCCTGAATTCACAGGGCCAGTGCTCTATCCACTCTAACCACCGAGCTGCCTCTCTCATTTTATATGCAGGATGTTTCTTTGTTTACCGCCTTGACTTAGATCACTGGGTCAAAGGATATGCACAAGTTAATGACTTCTTCACAAATCACCTGCATTTCTGAGACTCATGTTTTGAGTTCTCTTTCTCCATTGCTCATCAAATTATTAAGCCAGTGAATTGTCCTCACGGAGCTAAACTGAGCCGAATCTAATCCCCAAGCTAATCCTCGGCCGAAAGGCTGTATAGTATCTTAATGAAATGGCATTGACTTTCAGTGTTGGCAATTTGGAAAAGATGTATAAAACATTGGAACAGAAATGAGAATCAAAGGATGGAGCAAAGCTTAGAAAGGTAAAGTTTGGAGAAAAGACCTAATGGGAAGGATGACTAAGGAGGAGTGAGATGGAGCATACAAAATAATAGGAAGGGGTTTAGAAAAGTGGATCAAGAGAAAGGTTGAGTCTGTATGAAAAAAAAAAGATTCTATTGCTGTGTAAATCCTTGGCAACTATGCTGTCAGTCAAAATCTTGTTAAACTATAAAGAATGGCAGATAATTTCTTTTAAAATAAGACTAAGAACTCCTACCTAACAACATTCTTTTTCAGATGCCTCATAATGGAAAAATATCAAGTATATAACTAGATCTTCATAATAGTAAAATTTTCTAAAAATAAAATCCATTTCTTTAAGTAGAGTTGGGGGCTAGGGTAATATAGAAAGATTGACTTGTTCAGCCTAGTGAAGCTCAGACTTAATAGCAGGACTTTGAATTAATGGATAATATGAAGTTAAGGTGGGCAGCTAGGTGGCACATTGGATAGATCACTGGGTCTGGTGTCATGAAGACTCATCTTCCTGAGTTCAAATCTGGCCTAAGACACTTACTAGCTGTGTGATCCTGGGTAAGTCACTTAACTTTGCTTGCCACAGTTTTTCATCTGTAAAATGAGCTAGAGAAGGAGAATGGCAAACCATTCCAGTTATCTCTGCCAAGAAAACTCCCAAAAAAGGGGTCATGAAAAGTTGGACACGATTGAAAAATGACTGAACAACTGAAATCAAAATACTTTGAGATGATCTAATTATAGATATCACTCTAGCATCTAGTTTATTATCATTGCTCGGTTCTTATCCCCCAAAATGTACTTACTTGAGTTTCACAGGAAAGGAGTGTGAGATTTCACTACTATTGAATTTAAACTACGTAGCCGCAAAACTTGCTAACAACAGGCTGCTGTACCATCCCACACAGCATACGAGCTTACTCTGTATTTTTGCCATGCTTTTAATAGGGCTTGTTTAAACATGATTAGAAAAGTGTGGCTTGGTGTTTAAGAGAGCCTTAGCCCAGTGCCTGACACATAGTGGGTGTTTAATAAATGTTTATTGATTTTATGTAGAGTGACTGTTACTTAAAACTTACCTATAGAATTAGCTCCATAAGACTTATAGGTCAACTCATGGCAAGTCTACATAGACTCAACTACTTATGTAGTTCATTTTCCTCCTTCCCATTTTCTACTCCAGCTTTTCTCTTCGAAACAAATGTGGGCCTAGTGCTAGGCAGGCTAAGCTCAGGAGCAGCATGGATGGGGAACACTTACATTTTTTTTACACACTTTAATATTTTAATGAATTTCTGATCTCGCTGATTTGGATACTCTCATCAACAGTGCAGATACTAACATTCATTTCTTCTCATTTCTTCTCTCCCCTCAGCCCTCTACAGGGTGTCCACCCACTGTGCTGGCTGTGTTCCTCTAGATCCCTTGACATTATGTGAGTACCTGTGCAGCAGGTGACCTCTTTGTCTGTTATCTCTTTCTTGCTTGTATGATTGGCTCACCTCCTTTTTCTTGTTATCCATCTCTGTGTTAATAACTTTTGTCCTCACAGTTTATGCTAATGGATTGCTCACTGTGTGAATCTTCAGTTCCTTTTGGGTGACCCACAATTTTGATTCCTTGGAGACTGTAGTATTATGTGATTCAAAGCCCTATAGCATTCAAGCATTGAAAGGATGGAATTTAGTTTCAGGGAGAAACTTAGGGTCATCAAAAGCTCTGTGCAGATTCCATAATGCAATCCAGCTTGATTGATTCCTCCTATTGAGTTCTGGGACCCATTCATTGTCCATCTGCGGGATTTAACCACAGTGTACATACTGGTATATCATAGGACACTTTGCCCTCCATAGAATCAACCCTTCAATGTCCCCAAGATTTAGTCACCTCCAGAATGGACTGCCTCTGAGTACACTGGGTCTGGTGTAGGGGATCCCTTTTTTTTTTTCATTAGTACCATTTCTACTTCTTCATATAGCACACTGAGTAATGTGTGGTGTTAGAGTCCAAATCTGAAGTTCCACTTTTGTTGTTGGAGAAGACAGTTTATTATAGAAATCTTGACATTTCTTATCATTTTTTCTTCTATTTGTTATCTTCTTAGTTTCATTCTTAAATTTCTTGGGATCATACATTTAGACCTGGAAGGGGCCCTTAGAGGTTATCTGGTTTAATCTAATTTACAGATGAGTAAACTGAGGCCCAAGTAAGTAAATTGACATGACCATGATCAAGTGATTTGTTTTAATTGGATAGCACATCAGTCTTGCTGTAGGTTTGTTTCCCTAAGCCACTCGGCATCATTTTATGAGACAATACTGCTTGCAATCTTCCAGCTTCTTACCTCATGGCTGCCATCTCTCTGTTCCTGGCAAGAAGAATGAGTGTTCATGGGCTGAAGGTGATATCTTATTATTGTAATGTCTTTATATATTAGTTGACATCTTTTCTTTCATTCATTTCCTTATATCAGTAACTTGTTTAAGTAGGTCAGATTGGAGCTCTTTTGATTGCATGGCATATCATCTAATTTGTTTTTTCTTTTTTGATCTTTGCTCTAACAAGTTGATGGTCTGGTTGTACAGAGGCAGTAGATTTAGAAATGACTGCCACATCAGTAACCTGTCATTTCCTTATATCATTCATAAGTTAGAGTTAATTTCATTTTTTATTTTTTGTGATGTGATTCAGCGCTTGTCATCTTTGAAGACTGAAAAAAAGTATCCATGAAGTTGAAGTTTCTATCCAGTCCTATAAGCCACTGGTCTCTTCTTTTTTTTTATCCAGAGTCATATTTTCCATCATGTTATTTGCTGTCTTACCCATGCATCAAAATCACTGAGTGTCAAAGTGTATGCTGATTTAATTTGGAAGGTATTATTGAACCCTTTGTAGAATTTCTCTACCTGCTCATTCTCTGCAATGGATGTCAGTGTATAGACCCCAATTGTTTTTGGTTTGATTTTTCATTTATATCTATCTTTAGTACTGCAAAGGAAGATGACCAGGTACCCCACGAAATGTTTTGTCTTGCCTTCAGGCACAGAATGAAACCGATTCCTTTACTTGCCTCTCAAAGGAGAATCTGTGAGCTCTCTTTCCATTTAGCTACATATTCCTTACATCTCCTGGTTTCATTTAAAATGGGAACATATAGATTGGTGTGATTCAGTTTGTCTGATACTTTGTGGACTTGGTAGTCACTGAGCAAGGATCTCACATTTAGAGTAATTATAATACTACTCACTCACATATGCTTTAAAGTAGTCTGCATATATTACCTCATTTGAGCCTCACAGCCACCCAGTGTGATAGGCAGTTTTCTTATTTTCTGCAGATTAGGAAACTGAGGTTGAGAAGTGACTTGGGATGTGTCAGAGGTGGGATATGGACCCAGGTCTTCCTTGCTTTAAGTTCAGCACTCCATTAGCTACTGTTTTAATGATGGTTAAGTTATTATTCATAGGTGGTCTAAAAACTGTGAATCTTAGTATCCCCTATACCCTTTTCTGCTGACTGCAGAATCTGAATGAGGCCTTATGGGACTGAGGACCATTTTCTTTTTTCTTTATTTAATGCATTGCCAGGATGAAAGAATTCATCACCAAGTAGCCAGCCTCCTGGCAATGACCTTCTCCAGACTTTGGAATCAAGAAGATCTGAGTTTGAATCGTCCTTCAGATAGTGACTAGCTGTGTAACTCCTGGGTAAGTTTCTTTCCCTCTCTCAGTTTCCTCATCTGTAAAATGGGGATAATAACATCTACTTCACATTAATCTTTGGTGTTTCATTGTGAAGTGGAGATGACCAAAAACTCTGCAATGCCAGTGGGATGCACTCTCTGTAGGTTCTATCAAGGACTCTGAGTACAATCTTGGCAAGATTTGCCAAGTGCTTTCTATGTTATCTCATTGAATCCTGGCAGGATGAAATTCATTTGGCCGCTACTTACAAATGCTCACTTTTAATTTTAGAAATTTTTGCTCTTGATGGCATGTAGGTATTGTATTGAGCTAGGCAGCTAGATGTCTCAGTGGATAGAGTGCTGGGCCTGGAGTCAGGAGAAACTGAGTTCAAATCTGGCCTCAGGTACTTACTAACTGTGTGACCCTGGGCAAGTCACTTAACCCTGTTTGTCTTACTTTCCTCATCTGTAAAAAATGAGCAGTAGAAGGAAATAGCAAAACCATTTCAGTATCTTTGCTAAGAAAGCCTCAAATGGGGTCACAAAGAGTTGGACACAACTGAATGACTAAACAACAACAAATGTATTGTAAAATACAGTGGAAAAAAGCATTGTCTCTGGAGTTAGATGATCTGTGTCCTGATCCCACCTTCGATGGCTTTGGTAAGTCATTTAATCTCTCCAGGTCTCAATTTTCTCATCTGTAAAATGAGAGGGTTGCGGTAGCTGGCCATTAAGGGTATTTCCAGCTCCAGGTCTAGGTTCCTAAGTCGCGTGTATTACAGTAAAGACTCAAAACCTCCCCAAGACAGTAACACACAAGCAGAACAGAGATTTCAAACCTTACCTATGGTCTGAAGGTGCTCCAGTGCTTTGCTTTGGTTCTTCTACTTCCCTGGGATGTAGACTAATATACTTGACTAATATACTTACTTAACATCATGTGGTTCAGGTCTTCTCCTAAGAGACTGACAACTCTTCAGGAGTCTCTCCTGTTGGCAGTCAGGTCCTCCACTCATTTCCTTAGCAAGTAACTTTCCTAGGATCTCTATAAGCCTGCTCCAGGGGCTCTTCTAAATCTAACTTGTTTGCTCTTTAGGGGTAGACACTTGGCTCCCATTCCAACTCTAGAATCTCTGTTGCAGGCTTAAAGGACCTTAAACACACACACACACACACACACACACACACACAGTTAAAGGAAGCAAATTTCTGGTGACACTAAATTGGGAAAGAATTTTCAAGGTTCCATTCTGAGCTGCAAGGTCCTGGTGGGTAAAAAGTTATGAAAATGATATTCATTACAACCCAGCTCTACTAGATGAAGTGTGTGGAGAATCGTGGAAGTGAACAGGAGGGTCAGTGAGATAACAACCAGCAGCAGGAAGGTAGAAAGGGAGCTTTTAGAATACGTGGTTTTGAGCAGTGTGAATTGCTGGAAAAACGGCAATAGTGATCAAAGTGGACTGCTGTGTGGCAATTAAAGATGGAATGATTGCTTGTGAGAAGGGACGAGGTGAATGGGGAAGTCATCTAGGAGGTGAAGTTAAAAACAGCAACAACATTGCGACAGGTCAGAGGACAGTGTGAACACAAATGGGAACATGTGGAGGCATTATCTGATTTATGGCCAACCTGATAATGAGCATACATCGTTAATAGCGCCATCTTCAAGTGAAGCTCCTTCTTGAGGTTGGGAGTTGTGATTTCAAGGATCAAACACCCAGAAACTGGTCATTGACTTTGTCCTGCTGTGTTTTCACCTTCAGCTCTTTCGAATATTTTCCTCGCATTTCCTAAGTTGAAAACTAGGGCTCTACCAACAGGAATGTACCATGTTTTTGCTGGTGGAGCAATCCTCAAAACTACCTACATCCCAGACCAGATCTGTCTTGTTACTTTTCAAGTATGACCACATTTTTTCCATTGTCAACATAATTGCTAGCCTGTGTAGGGTATATCTAAATGCCATTGTTTCTTTCTTTTTTTTTTTTTTTGGTGAAATGCAGATAATCATCAGCAGTTTTTGTTTATGCTGTTCTCTAAAAGATATTCAGCAAGGGGCCACTCTTGCCAAACTGGACTTATCTCTAGTTCCTAGTTAACTTATAACCAGACCTTTATTATTGGTAGTTTTTTTCTCTTCTATTTTTTGTTGGTTTGAGAATCATTGATCTGAAAGACATTTTTTCTTTATGCACTTGCTGCAAAATATTATTTAATGAAGCCAAGAGACCCAACTCTGCCGACCACTGAGACCAGCCTGAAGGCTTCGACAGCTTGCTGGGTTGGTTTTGAACACTCATCTAAAACCATTCCATTTCCCAGCCTTTCGTTTTATTTCTCAAAGACAGTGTACACTTGTGGTACAGTAAACTTTTAATGCTGTTAATTCAGCCATCAGTTCAGTCGTTTCTTCAGTTGCATCTGACTCTTTGTGACCCCATTTGGGGTTTTCTTGTCAAAGATACTGGAGTGGTTTGCCATTTCCTTCTCCGGCTTATTTTATGAATGAGGAAACTGAGACAAATAGGGTGAAGTGACTTGCCCAGGGTCACATGGCTAGTGAATGTCTGGATTTGAACTGGTGAAGATGAGTCTTCTTGATTCCAAGCCCAGTACTCTATGCACTATGGCACCACCTCGTTGCCCTGATACTGTTAATTAGTTTCCATTATATCAGGATAAGGTCTTGAGATCTCACTGTATCTGAGGCAAGGATAAAAGCCTCCTGGCTGGAAAGTTTTTCTTTTTAGGGATTTCACCAAAGGATGCTTAGGTGATTCAGTTTTAGCCACCCGCTTGACAGTGTAAGTTGCTATGTCTGTAAGAATGCTTTCCCTCCCTGGTGGAAGAAGTCCTAGACTACTGTGGAGGCTAGGACCACAGCCATGCTTACTTATTGTCCTTGAAAACTCAACAAGGTAAAAATTAGTAATACTTGGAAATATTTTCAGTACTATCCTTGGGCTTTAATAAGAAAGGGAATAATAAGCCCATCTAAAGTGCTAAATAGAGAGAGAGAGAGCCAAGATCGTGGAATAATAGGAAGCCACGTAGCTGAGCACCCGTTCACAAAAGTCTTCCAAATAGACCTAGAAAAGGTGCTGGTCCAAATCCTGATGGAGAAATCCAGAAAAAGTCACAATGAACCCTTTCTCTGGCCCATGTCTGCCTAGGGAGACAGACAGACAGATATACTGACACTGAGTCCAGGCAGGAACAAGTTAGTATGCAGAGAACTGTAGCACTCAGGAAGAGGCTAAACACCAGGAGATCCCATCCTGGTGCATCTGTAGGACCATGCCGAGGTGCTGTGACTTGGACAGATGCCAACAGCTGGTCTAGTTCTTGGTCACTGATCTAGGGCAGACTGAGATGGGAACCTGTGCTGAGGGGTGGCATTCTGAAGTATGGAGATCCTGAACAGTATACCAAGAAAGGAGGAAGTTCAGAAGCAAGGAGGAATGCTTTGCTTCAGACCCCAGGAGCAGAGCAGGATCTCAGTTCCAGTATGAAGCCCATCCTGAGGAAGAGTAACTAGTGCAGGGAAACCAGACCAAAAGGGAGCCTGCAGTTCTGTCATGCTGAATCAGCAAAACTTCCTAGCTGGCTGAGAGGGGCTGAATCCAGCAGCATTCTGTTGTTGCCCTGATCACAGCCCAGGTCAGGAGCTTGTAGAACTCAGATGAAGGTTAGCTATCAGACTTTGTTTTGGGGGAGCACAAGCTGTGCAGCCTGCCCCTGAGACCCTGGCATAACAGTGCTTGCTACTCCAAGTAAGTAGCTGCAGGACCAGGCCAGACCTTTCCACCTGAAATGTTACAGAGCTCAGCCCTAACATCAAGTCCAAAATCAGGAACGAAGTTGGAATAATAAGCAAGCTAACAAAAATCCATGATAAAGAGCTCTTATGATGGCAGGAAAGCCAGAAAGAAGACATACCCAGAAAAAGAAGATTACTCCAAAACATCTATAAACAAAACTTCAGAGATAAAATGCAGATTGGACACAAACTTAACTAGAATTTCTGGAACAGATGAATTAAGAGTTTAAAAAAGAGTTAAAAATGTTTTTATAACTGAAATAAGAATGCTTGAGGAAAAAATCTGAAAAAAAATTACAGCTATGGAAGAAAGAATTGGACAGAGAATTTATGGCTTGGCAGAAGAGCTAAGTTAGAATGGAGCAAATAGAAGCCAATGACACCTTGAGACAACAAGAAATTAAAATGAAGTCAAAAGGCTGAAAAATCTAAGGTGTGTCATAGCAAAAAACTGATCTGGAAAACAGATCAAGGAGAAAAAGATGAAGAATCATTGGACTTTTTAAACACTATGACCAAAAAAAAAAGAGAAAAAAGAGCCTAGACCTTATATTTCAAGAAATCTTCCAAGAAAACTGCCCAGATCTCTTAGAACTAGAGGGCAAAGAAGACATAGAAGGAATCCATTGGTTAACCTCCTGAAAGAAATCTCATAATACACTCCCCAGAATGTCATAGTTGAAATCCAGAACTTCCAGGTTAAAGGAAAAAAATCCTGCAAGCAGCCAGAAAGAATTTAAGTAGCAAAACCATCATAGTCAGGATCATACTCGATTTAGTAGCTATCATTGTAAAAGAGCAGACGACTTGGAATGTGATATTCCAGAAGGCAGAGAGTGTGGTCTTACAGTCAAGAATAACTTACCCAACAAAACTGAGTATAATGCTACAAGGGAAAAAATAGATCTTTAATGAAAGAGGACTGCTAAGCATACCTGATGAAAAGATCGGAGCAGCGGAAAAACTTCAAAGTTAAGACAGTTAAGAGAAACATACAGAAGTGCATACCCATCACGTTAAAACAAGAAAAGACTGTCACATTTCAAATGTCACACTTTTAAGGAACAGTGGAGGATGAATTATTTTGTTATCTAATTAGGTGGCAAAACATTGTGTTCACCATGAAATGACACCATATCTTTGCTAAATGAACGCAACATATATAAACATTACCAGACCAAGCACTCCT